GTGTGTGTGTGTGTGTGAGAGTGTGTGTGTGTGTGTGTGTGTGTGTGTATGTGTGTGTGTGTGTGTGTGGAGTGTGTGTGAGTGTGAGGGTGAGTGGTTGTGTGTGTGTGGTGTGTGTGTGTGTGTGTGTGTGTGTGTGAGTGTAGGGTGAGGTGAGTGTGTGTGTGTGTGTGTGTGTGTGTGTGTGTGTGTGTGTGTGTGTGTGTGTGTGTGTGTGTGTGGGTGTGTGATGTGTTGTGTGTGTGTGTGTGTGTGTGGTGTGTGTGAGTTTGTGTGTGTGTGTGTGTGTGTGTGTGTGGTGTGTGTGTGTGTGTGTGTGTGTGTGGTATGTGTGTGTGTGTGTGTGTGGGGTGTGAGTGTATGTGTGTGTGTGTGTGTGTATGTGTGTGTGTGTTGTGTGTGTGTGTGTGTGTGTGTGTGAGTTTGTGTATGTGTGTGTGTGGCTCCTAGCTCTCTGGCAGGGATTTTGAAGACGTCAGTATTTGACAACCTGGGTTGAGAATGTGGTGATGAGGCAGGAAGCAGACCCTTTCACAATAAAACACATTGCTGCTCCTCTTCATCAGAGAGTGTTTATTCGGTGTGAGTTCTCACTCGAAGATAAAAAACACAGTTTAGAATTTGTTTGTAAAAAGTGATGAACACAAACATCAACAGTTTCTTTTGTTTACAAATCTGTTTTAGAAAAGGTGTCTGTGTCAAAAGTCAAAGGTCACTCTAACATCTACACACACAAACATTTATTTACAAATACACAATACAAAACATCACTCGCTCCCATTGTGTAATGGACCTCCCCACTGGTATAAAATAAATAAATAAATAAATAATTGAAAGGAAATGTAGAGGAGTGAGACATCCCGTTCTGTTCTCATATTGCTACTGAGATTTCTTGTACCGTTATCTATGAGTAACAGCTACACATGGACCATCCATACCACTTTTTTTATCCTGGCTATGTATTGTGGGCTCATGTTTTTTGTATGGGTGGGATATGTATGTATATATGTGTTGTGTTGTGTGTTTGTATGTATGCTGGCTGCTGGAACACCTAAATTTCCCTGCTGGGATGAATAAAGTATATCTTATCTTATCTTTTTATCTTATCTCGTTCGATCGGGGGGCTGTACCACGGTGATCCTATGAGGCATGCCCCCTGTGTGTATGTGTGTGTTGGTGGGGGGGGGGGGGTGATCAGGTCCAATGGGGTATGTGGTCCTCAGCTCACAGCCTGATGGAAGAAGATCCCTGAGTCACCATGGAGACCTGCAGAGAAGGGGGGGGGGGGGAGATCAGACACCATGAGTACAGGTGTGAACCCAAAAAACTTCAGATATTTCTAGATATTTTATAAGAAACTCAGATTCCAGAACCCCCTGCTGGGCCCCGCTATAAACCCACATTTTCAAGTGTGGTTTTATTTCTGTGCTTTAAGACATTACCATGACAACAATATGAGTGTTGTTGTTGTCTTTGAGTCATCCTTTCTCACTCTTTGTTTGAAACAGTGAAACTCATCTCACATGTTTAGAGTGTGTCCTCTTGATAAATTATGAAACGTTTCTCATCATCTTGTGAACTGAACTCCATCAGCATGAGAGCGCAGCTCTGTCAGAGTGAGAGTGCAGCTCCGTCAGCATGAGAGCGCAGCTCTGTCAGAGTGAGAGTGCAGCTGCATCAGAGTGAGAGCGCAGCTCCATCAGAGTGAGATTGCAGCTCTATCAGTGTGAGAGTGCACACCACCTCCCCCCCATTCCGCTGCTGACCTGCATTCACACTGCTCCAGGACTAACCGGGCCTGAGCACGGTTACCTCTTGTACATAATGTCGTAATATAACACATGCATGACTTTACGTAATTATGAAGCTTGCATCAGACAGGTGGACTCCAAAATAAAAAATAAAGAGTCTGCGTCTGCACATTGGAGAACAACACAGAGACCATTACAGCTACTTTACTGACTTTGTGGCTTATTGGAGTCGTTTTACTCAGATACAGCCAGAACACTCTCGATAATGGAGGCTGTACACGCTGAGTGCCCGTGCTTGTGCTCGTGCATGAACTTTACCGTGCCGAAGCACAAGCGTGCCAGGGCCAAGGAAGTGTGCCGTGCTAGAGCAAGGATTAGACAACTCACACTAGTCAAACGATCTGGACTCTAGGGGTGAAGCGTGCTTGGGCAAGGTACGGATGGGCCAGTGAGTGCGCCCTTAGACTCAGAGATGGAGCAGATTCATGAACGATTTATGGAGATATTAGAGACTGTGATCATTCTGAGTGAATCAGAGCCTCTGTGTTTACATACTGATTGTATGGAGCTGCATGTGTAATTATTTAACATGGTTCACTCATGTGTTTCGATTTTAAGGTTCAAGCTTAATCGTGTGTGAAGAAGTGTCATATGACTACAAACATGGCTGCCGTCATCCTGCAGAGATTTACAGTGACATTGTCACAATTTAATGAACATACAGCTGGACTCAGATTGGACTGTTTAAT